AATGTTATAAAAGGTTTTACCCTATCTTTTGATCAGCTTTAATGGTATAAATAAGCAAATGGCATGCAAGTTTCATGGGAAATGTTGATAAGGAAAATTGGTGTTTGGATTCACGAAATAAACCAAATAGAATGACAAATCTGAACAGGAGAATGAACACTTCAAGACAAATATGTCAGTCCCTATTACAAAGAGCTTAATAGCAATAATGTTATTCTCAAATACACCTCTAGGCTTTGAAGAGGAGTACAGGTTAAACACAAGTTCCAACATCACTTAGAGTATCTTCTATGAAATGATAAACATTGGTTTTTCAATTTTAAAATATGTCTACATTTTATAATCCTATGAAGGTTTCTAAACTGAAGTGCTTCAGCATGAATTTGAAAAAAATTTTCAGAAAAAGCACTGGTCTCAGAACAGTAAAAATAGTAACAATAATAGTAACAGCTACATTTATTACATGCTTACTACATACCAAGCTCATGAATTACCTTTTTGAGTCTCATAATAATCCAATGGCGTTAGATATTATTACATTATTATTATTCCCATTTTACAGAGGGAAAAATAAAAACCCAGAGTAAATTAATCTGTCTTGGGTCACACAAATAATAAATGACAGGATAGAAAAATCAAGTATTCCCTGCCAAACAATGAAATTTTAAACTGTTTGAGAAGCCCAGTCATTGTTTTTACATGCTTGAAAGGTATATGAAACCCTAAAATGTCTCTAAGGAGCCTTCTAAAAATAGATGATTATGTCTAAGCATCCTTACCTTTCATGAGAAAACTGAGGCCCAGGAAATAATGTAACTTGTTCAGGACACTACTGGTCCTGTTTTTTTTTTTTTTAACATCTTTATTGGAGTATAATTGCTTTACAATGGTGTGTTAGTTTCTGCTTTATAACAAAGTGAATCAGCTATACATATACATATATCCCCATATCACCTCCCTCTTGCGTCTCCCTCCCACCCTCCCTATCCCACCCCTCTAGGTGGTCACAAAGCACCAAGCTGATCTCCCTGTGCTATGTGGCTGCTTCCCACTAGCTACTTTACGTTTGGTAGTGTATAACTGTCGATGCCACTCTCTCACTTCGTCCCAGCTTACCCTTCCCCCTCCCCGTGTCCTCAAGTCCATTCTCTACATCTGCATCTTTATTCCTGTTCTGCCCCTAGGTTCTTCAGAACCATTTTTTTTTTTTTTTTTTTAGATTCCATATATATGTGTTAGCATACGGTATTTGTTTTTCTCTTTCTGACTTACTTCACTCTGTATGACAGACTGTAGGTCCATCCACCTCACTACAAATAACTCAATTTCATTTCTTTTTATGGCTGAGCAATATTCCCTTGTATATATGTGCCACATCTTCTTTATCCATTCACCTGTCGATGGACACTTAGGTTGCTTCCACATACCAGCTATTGTAAATAGAGCTGCAATGAACATTGTGGTACATGACTCTTTTTGAATTATGGTTTTCTTAGGGTATATGCCCAATAGTGGGATTGCTGGGTCGTATGGTAGTTCTATTTTTAGTTTTTTAAGGAACCTCCATACTGTTCTCCATAGTGGCTGTTATCAATTTACATTCCCACCAACAGTGCAAGAGGGTTCCCTCTTCTCCACACCCTCTCCAGCATTTATTGTTTGTAGATATTTTGATGATCAGTGTGAAGTGATACCTCATTGTAGTTTTGACTTGTATTTCTCTAATGATTAGTGATGTTGAGCATCCTTTCATGTGTTTGTTGGCAATCTGTATATCTTCTTTGGAGAAATGTCTATTTAGATCTTCTGCCCATTTTTGGATTGGGTTGTTTGTTTTTTTTTTGATATTGAGCTGCATGAGCTGCTTGTAAATTCTGGAGATTAATCCTTTGTCAGTTGCTTCATTTGCAAATATTTTCTCCCATTCTGAGGGTTAGCTTTTCGTCTTGTTTATGTTTTCCTTTGCTGTGCAAAAGCTTTTAAGTTTCATTAGGTCCCATTTGTTTATTGTTGTTTTTGTTTACATTTCTCTAGGAGGTGGGTCAAAAAGGATCTTGCTGTGATTTATGTCATAGAGTGTTCTGCCTATGTTGGTCCTGTTTTTTTTAAATAAAGAATTTTGCTGCTTAAAAACGTTTTAAAACTACTAACTTGGTGATTATCTCTTTCAGTTCTAAAATCTATGCTTCAAACTAGAAATACAATTGTTCATTCAATCATCAAAAAGACAGAGTTCCATTACCTTATAGTTGAATTAAAGCATTTTCCAGCAAATACTTGATAATCATCTTAATCTACAAAAGTTTTAAGACGGCCTTAATTCTAAAGGAAGAAAATGAAAGGGTATCCCTCCCTCCTTTTTAACGACATTTATATTAGCAAAGATTTACATCTTCTATGCCTTCTTTTTTTCAGTGGATGGGACCCATTCAACAATCATGAAATCAATTTAATGATTCATAAACGGAATTAAAAGAAACTGAAAATAACTAGAATAAAAAAAGTCAAGTGACTATACTATAAATAGCAAGGGCTAAGTATTGCTTCACGAAATCTGTCTGCTTATGTTACTGTGCATTCAGTAATAATGTAAAATGTATTTCTTACTGTGGATCTCAATCAAAATAAACTGAAAGCCACAATGCTAGAGTCCCAAGTCACTTTCACATGTAATATATCTGATATGAAAAGAGTTATTTAGTTACATTTTGATGATTGATATTTCCAGGATCTACACCTAAAATATTTTGCTTTTTGTAATTACAGTAAAATTACTTACATGCTGAAGAGCCAACCCTACCAAGACATGCAAAGAAATTCTAGGAATGCAGCCTGTACAACAGTTTTCCCAATAAACATAAAGATAAAAATACTTGTAAAGAAGCAAACACAATGTTTAAAGAAAGTATCTGAAAGAAACCAGGGCTCCTTGAAGAGATGGTGATTCCAACTGTGGGCAGAAAAACAAAAGATGAACATGGAACATGTTCCCTGGCCAGAGAGCAAAGAAGCTAATCAGAGATTAGGTTGTGTCAAAAGGACACAGAGTCAGCTTAAAGGTTCCCCACTGATCAAAGATGGGACAAATTGGCTTCAAAGAGAATAACTGTAATAGATTGAAACACAAATATATAAAAATACAAGAGTTCAAATAAAACAAAACATTAATCACCTCCATGGTAGAACATCAACTTACTATTCTAAAATGAAGGAACCAAGTATTTTTTTCCTCCTTCTCCTCCACCAATTTTTTTGCATTTATATCCAGAGAGTTAACAAAAGAAAGCTCTTCTTTGAGAGAATTCTAGGTTTAAAAATAAATGCAGAACTTTCCTGGTGGCGCATTGGTTAAGAATCCGCCTGCCAATGCAGGAGACATGGGTTAGAGCCCTGGTCCGGGAAGATCCCACATGCCATGGAGCAACTAAGCCCACGCGCCACAACTACTGAGCCTGTGCTCTAGAGCCCACAAGCCACAACTACTGAAGCGCGTGCGCGCACCTAGGGCCTGTGCTCTGCAACAAGAGAAGCCACCACAATGAGAAGCCTGTGCAACGCAACGAAGAGTAGCCCCTGCTCTCTGCAACTAGAGAAAGCCCGCATGCAGCAACAAAGACCCAGCACAGCCAAAAATAAATAAATAAATATTTTTTTTTAAAAAGAGAGAAAAGAATCAAGATAAAATATAAATAAATAAAGGACAAATTTAGAAAGTCACCAAATTATAACCCCTAATGAAATAATGAATGACCTGCAATAGCTGCTAACACCATTAGATAAAAGATTGATAGGGAACTTTATAATGGATGGATCAGGCTGACAACACCTGAACCCACTGGTCAGGTTTAACACGAGTAAAAGTGAGACAAGACCTCCAAATGGGATACAGTAGAAAGTACATTGTCCTAAAAGAGAACCTGAAACTAATCAGTCCTCTAGATCTGACTACAAGTTGTAGGAAACACAGGGGATAGAAAAAGATGTTTAAAAAGACCACAAAGATGGAATCAGATAAATTCAAAATATGGGAAATCTATAAGATCTGGCTTCTTCAATAAATAATGGCAAGGAAAAAAGTAGATGGGAAATTGTTAAAGATTAAAAGAAACTTAAAAGACTCACCTAAATGCAATGTTGTAGACCTTGTTTGCATCTTCACTTGCACAGATCAGAAGAGAACTTCCTCAGAATTGGGGCAATTTGAACACAGACTGGACATCAGATGATATTCAGAGCTTATTTTTTATTTTGTTAGATGTGATAATGGTAATGTGGTTTTGTTATAAAGAAATAAAATATTTTTTAAAATCTTTAAGACTAATGCATGACATATGCAGAAATCCAATTAGTAGACTTATATGTAGCAAACAACTTAACATGTAGATAGTCCCTTTTCAAGAAAAATAATTCATCTTTCTGCTAGATACTGGAATTCAAAATCACTAAAAGCACACTGTCACCCAACTTTCTACTTTCTTTTTTAAAATTAATTAATTAATTTATTTTTGGCTGCGTTGGGTCTTCATTGCTGCACGCGGGCTTTCTCTAGTTGCAGCGAGCAGGGGCTACTCTTTGCTGTGGTGCACGGGCTTCTCATTGCGGGGGCTTCTCTTGCTTCAGAGCACAGGTTCTAGGTGCGCGGGCTTCAGAAGTTTTGGCTTGTGGGCTCTAAAGCGCAGGCTCAGTAGTTATGGCACACGGGCTTAGTTGCTCCGCGGCATGTGGGATCTTCCCGGGACCAGAGCTCGAACCCGTGTCTCCTGCGTTGGCAGGCAGATTCTTAACCACTGTGCCACCAGGGAAGCCCCAACTTTCTACTTTCAAAGGAAGGTATTAAGGATAGCTCAGCTGGGTAAATGTCAGACAACCAAGTTATATTCCTGCCTCAGGATGTTTTTTCCCATTTAAAATGTAAAGATATTCTCCATATACAATACTTTGAAATGTCACAAATACATAATTATACTGTATCACTGTAAATATTGTATTAGAAAACTTACTAAATAGCAGAACTGAAGGACAAGCACATTTCATGATCTTCTTGAAGCACTGAACTTATTTTCTTCCCTGTAGCTTTGCTTATAGATGTCTTCAGTTTCTTAGCTAATTTTTTTGGTGTGTTGGTTATAGAAGAGTCTTCTGTACAGCAACTATATACTTCCACCTTTATCTGAAAGTCTGGCCCTGCTTCATTACTAAAAACAAGGACAATCATAATGTTAGAAATTTAACTCAGTAGAAAATAAAATAACATCCTGTGATGTTTTCATAACATTTAAAAGCAGCATTTGGAACAGGTTTATGTTAATATATGTTAACGAGATAGAATATCCCAGTGTTTATTTAGTATCTAAATGACCTGAGAGAGTCACTACAACTTCGAGAGCTACCAGCTTCTGAAGTAGGGCAATCTTAACTCAACTTAACCAATATTTACAGGCAAATTATTTAAAGGAAAAGAATAAAATGCCCTGGTCATTTTGTTGCCAATGCTATTTCTCCTTTTCATTCCTATAATATAGCTGTTTTTAAGTTATTTACATTACATGTATGATTTCCTGAAATCACGATTCCTCCAAAGGAAAAAGATTTGAAAACAAAGAACACAAAGAAAATTAAAAGAAACAAAAGCTTTCTTCTGCTGAAACCTTTAGTTTTCACGCCTTTTTCATAAAGAGTCATACAGTCCACTCAACACCGCGCCCCTCCTCCCCGCTCCACCTTTGTACCTAATAACTCTGAAATAACATTTCACTATTTAGTTGTACAGGAGAAAACAAACAAAAAAATGAATATAAAGAGATATATTTCAAGGCATGAACTCCTTGAGGGGGAGTGATGTCTTGGTAATCTTTGTATTCTTAATCTAGCGTAAAAGATATTCAGTATGTATTTATTAAACCAATATGCAGAAAATCTGCAATGCCAAGATTGGCTTTGCTCTTTCTCAGACACAGCGAACTATCTTTACTATAAACGATTGTGGTGATGTTAGTAACAGTAAAATGTACTTCAAATCGCAAAGGAGGTCCATCAGCAGTAGATGTTGTCTGTAGAGGACAATCCATCAGCCTCAGAGATTTTAAAAACACAGCATAGACTTTTTAAGATTTAAATAGCCAAACTATAGTTTGAATAAATCCAAGGAATAACTTCCAAATATTTTTATAGTTTATTATTTGGCAACTCTGAAACATACAGTATTCCTGGTAATGACTAACAAATGTCAATATTTAGAGAAAAACCAGAGATTCATAAATATTGAATACTTATTAAAACAATCATAACAAAAAGCACATTTTAAAATAACATTTAGAACATCTGTGAGCAGTTATTTTTAGAACAATTTAAAATATTTACAGAATTAAAAAAAATTATAAATCATGAGTTGTCTTCCCAAGTAACTTGCATTGTTCTTTCTGTGAAAAAAATTATGATTTTTGTCTTTGTGGTAAAAACAAACAATAGCAAAGTGATGTGAAGAAAAGAGTCCATTAACAGGATGATTTTGGCAAGAAAAGATGCACTAGTAATAGTTGATAATGGAAATAAGTATATTTAGATAAATAATAAATATTTATTTTTAAGTCTCAATTATGTAAACATTTGGCAATATTTGGGGCATCATAAATAAATTTCTTTGGTTCAGTAGAGCTTATAAGATGGCCTGCACTACTGCTGACAACTCAGAAAAATGTATTATATTTTTCTGTGCTGTACAATTCCTTATGGGACACTGAACCAAAGCCACAAAACATGGTTTGCAATCATTTTTTTAATGCTACATGAGTGGCAAAACTAGTACTTTCAATCTCAACTGTATATAGCTCCATAGAAGATGGAAAAAACATGTATATTGATTTTAATAGTTAAGTAGTTATTAATATTTGGATGCAAAGATACTGTCTTTGAAACCCTGTAAGAAATAAAAATCACATACTGATTTAGGCCAATAGAAAAAAAGGCCAGGAAAAACTTATGTTAGTTAAAAATGATTTCTATGGCTACCTGAGGAGTTCTTTCTGGTTCTATATTATGACCACAATAAAATGAGCCTGTAAAAGAGCAGGGGCAATAAAAACAGCCCTGAGGATCACCCAACTTTTTATTGTTTTGGAGTGAAAACATGAAAGTGCACCATAAGAAAAAGAACATCTCAAAATTTTACCAAAGTACTTTGCCTATGGTACATATTTCAGAACTATCTCATAAAGTTGTTATACTATTTTGGTATTTCTGTAACCAAATCTCCTATATGAGATGTAAGAACCTCTTTTATGCCCAAATTCACTCTACATAAAATAATGTTATAATGAGATTCCACTGTATTCATAGTGTTACTACTAATATTACATGATTCCCACTTTATTTTACACTGGAAAAATCTCAAATGCAGAGATGGGCTTATTTTGAATAATGCAATGTTCAAAATCAATTTAAACATTTAAAGATTTTAATGCTTCAAAAATAATCCAATAAATTTGCCTTCCTTTGAAAAAGGTAGAATTTTAGATTCTTTTCATTCAATGAAGATTAAAAAATACTTACAATATGGTCACATTTTCAAAACATATATCTGTGATTGTTTTATCCACAATCACCATGTCAGTATCAAAAACTTCAGCTCCCATTTTGAATAAACAAAAAATGGCATAGCGCTGTGATCCTAGAGAAGAAAAACAACATAACACAATGATTCATGTGATGAATCATGCCTATATTATGTTAAAATCTGCTTGAAAATGAAAATAATTAGCCTAAATATTTGCTAATAGATTCTTATTTTCATACATTGTACACTGTAATCCTTTAACTTTTTATAGAGACTGTTTTGCCAATATATATTAATAGCTTGCCCAACTAAGGCACAACAATTAAAGTAGGGAGTATCAAAAAATAAAGTTAAAAATAGAGGCCTCTCAGCAGCCTAAAGTACCCACCAAACTCACAAATTTTATTCCTAGAAAACTCTTTAAGCTTTAATTAATAGCAAATTTATTATTTTATGTACATACTATTACCCCTGTCATTTGGTTTCCAAGTATATTTTAAGAAAAATAAGTTTTCTATTATGAGAGGTTAGGAGCAAGCACATTAACAGCAAAACATTTTCCACCAAACTGAAAGGGAGGAAACCACAAAAACAATAAAAAGTAGACATGTGAACACAAAAACCATAGCTGCTGGGCCTTCTAATTTGATGATGTTTTTTAAAAGTATTAGGTGATTAAAGGACTGAAACCTCATTACTGAGAAAATGTACCTCTTCAGAAAAACTTAACTCTCTACTGTAATCAGAAAGATGTACTTAATACCTGCATGTATTCCTTTGTAAAGTAATTTATATTTCCTAACTGAATAACAAATATACTAACCTGATTTTGGATTTTCCATATAAAACTAATTGTGCTCAATGTGATTCAGATTTTAAAGCTATCACAATAGACAAGAAAGATAAAGGATTATCATATCTTTTCTGCTTTGCCTCTAACAGCTAAAAATCATTTGAGGTTAATTTCCATGACCCACAATGCATGGATTTGTTAAGACTATATGAAGCCATAAAATGCTGAAGGGGAAAACAATCAGATCAAGCTAAAAATCTTTTCCTCTTACATCCTGTTAAATAATCTGAAGTAAGAAAACAACGCAGAAAGATCTCCAAGATCTCCGTCAAATAATGTTGCCTTTACCATGACTCAAACATTTCCTTTTATTGCACAATTCCCTTCTCTATTACCTGTTACTCACCATCCTTGCACAGGTTCCTATCAACAAGATTCTGCTTATTCTGTCAAATGACATCCATTTATTTCAGTGGAGAAGCAGTTTTTTCTCCTAATAATCTCAAATTTACTACATATTACAGAAGATATTTCAATTACCATTAAAATCATACATACGTTCTTTACTGCTGAAGTGATCAGAGTCTTTCCACATTAGTGGTATACGAATATCTATAGAGGAGGGGGAAAAGAAATGACAAGTAATAATTTTGGTAAATTTCATTTCTTAGAGTGAAATAAACCTCTGAATTCCACAATGGATTCTGACCATTAAAGCCAATATTTATTTATTGTTTAAATATTCAAACACAATAATGTTTTCTCTTAAAAACAGCTTAGACTAGGAATATAAAATCTGTTATATTTATTTTACTAAAAAAACCCACCAACTACTACTCAAGAAATTAATTGATTAAGAAAGGTCTGTAATAAGCTTATGCCATAAAATTTTCTTTTCATGATTGATGTTTTTGAAATAGGTGAAATTTGGGTAACCTAGTGTTCAATTTCTATTTTGGGTAAGCAGTAGCAGCAAATGTAGTTAAATATATTTCAAAATCATAGAATAGTAGAGGTAGAAATGACTTTAGAACTTTTGTCCACTATGCAAACTTTAAAGATGAAGAAAATTAAGTTGTCTAAGATTGACTTGTCTAAGATCATTGGTTTCTGGGAGAGACCCAGCTCTTAACAAACAAATCCAAGATCTCTCCATTAAGAAGATTTAACTTGTCTACAAAAGAATTTGCAGATCTTTGTATATTCATGTTACAAACTAGCATTTTCCTTAAGAAAACTAAAAAGAGGAATGTATTACTTCTTTCAGGCCAAGAAAAGGGCGTACGTTCTAAAAGTGAGCTAAACATATTCCTCTCATTCACACGTTCTTCAAACTCCAAAGTGACTGTGTTAACAATCTTTATTCCGGAAATTAATCTAGAGCTTTGACACAGTCAAAATTTTGCCTTCCTAGTTTTCTCCATTCTTCCCTTTACTTCTAATACTAGGTTAACATTATGTAGTAACAATTTTCCTGACATTCTTATGTTATCTGCCTAGTTTCAAAGTTAGAGAATTAAGGTATTACCAAATAGATTAAGATGTGTGATTACAGCATAACACAGCACAGTAGAAATCTCAATGATAAAGTGAAGTTAGTTTTAATTTTTAATTTTGTACTCAGTACAAAAACAATATCGAACCTTTCTGGAAAATTTCTGTTTAAGACATTTCCTTATTACACTTAGGAAGTTTATTTGCATATTTTTCATACCTATTAATTATGTCACTTTCAAATAATTATAAATCTTTCTGAACATAAGCTATTTGGCTACCTTTATGATGTGCTTCACTTTTATATCCCATGATCTTTTGTCTACATTTTTATTTGTTTAGAATTCTAAGGTTCTTAGTGCCTATTTCCAATTTCCTTTCTAGAACATCTTTGTATTACTCCATCCCTATTCTGCCCAACCAGGTAGAAAGCTTGGCTAAACACTTTACATACATTTCATCCAACAATAATTTTTAAAATATATTTACTAATTTATGGTTGTGTTTTCATTGTCATTTGTCTCAAAGTATTTTTTAATTCCCTCTTCGATTTCATCACTGACCCACTGGTTTTTTAGTACCATGTTGTTTAGTCTCCATGTAATTGTTTTTTCTTGTTTCTCTTTGTGTGGTTTATTTTCAGTTTCATGCCGTTGTACATGGAAAAGATGCTTGAAAAACTTTCTATCCTCTTAAGTTTGCTGAGGCTTGTTTTGTGTCCTAGTATGTGGGTCTATCCTAGACAGTGTTCCATGTGCACTTGAAAAGAATGTATATTCTGGATTTTTTTGGATATAATGTCCTGAAAATATCAATTAAGTTTAAATGACTGTAAAAACACAACCATTCAAAATCTGTGGCATGCAGCAAAGGCAGTCCTGAGACAGAAGTTCATAGCAATACAGGCCTTCCTCAAAAAACAAGAAAAATCTCAAATAAATAACCTAACCTACCACCTGAAAGAATTAGAAAAAAAAAGAACAAACTAAACCTAAAGTCAGCAGAAGGAAGAAAACAATAAAGATCAAAGAGGAAATAAATAAAATAGAGATTTAAAAACTATAAAAAAACCCCAATAAAAACAAGAGCTGGTTTTTTGAAAGGGTAAACAAAATGGACAAACCTCTAGTCCGGCTCACCAAGAAGAGAGAGGACCCAAATAAACAAAATAAGAAATGAAAGAGGAGAAGTAAGAATGGATACTTCAGAAATAAAAAAAAAACCATAAGAGAACACTATGAACAATTATATGCCAACAAACTGAACAACCTAGAAGAAATGGACAAGTTTTTAAAAACATAGAGCCCACCAAAATTGAATCAAGAAGAAATGGATAATTTGAACAGACCAATCACTAGAAGTGAAATAGAATCTCCAAAAAAAACCAAAACCAAAAACCCCAGGGGCTTCCCTCGTGGTGCAGTGGTTGAGAATCCGCCTGCCAATGCAGGGGACATGGGTTCAAGCCCTGGTCCGGGAAGATCCAACATGCTGCGGAGCAACTAAGCCCATGCGCCACAACTACTGAACCTGTGCTCTAGAGCCCACAAGCCACAACTACTGAGCCCACGTGCCACAACTACTGAAGCCCACACACCTAGAGCCCGTGTTCTGTGACAAGAGAAGCCACCACAATGAGAAGCCCGCGCACCGCAATGAAGAATAGCTCCTGCTCGCCTCAACTAGAGAAAGCCCGCGCCCAGCAACAAAGACCCAACACAGCCAAAAATTTAACAAAAAAAAATTAATTAAACAAACAAACAAAAAACAAAAACAAAAACTCCCTGCAAAACGAAGTCCAGGACTGGATGGCTTCACTGTGGAATTCTACCAAACATACAAAGAACTCAGACCAATCCTTCTCAAACTATACCAAAACACTGAAGAGGAGGGAACACTCCCAAAGTCATTCTATGAAGCCACCATCACCCTGATACCAAAATCAGACAAAAGCACTATCAAAAAAGAAAATTATAGGCCAATATCTTTGATGAATACAGATGCAGAAATTCTCAACAAAATATTAGCAAACCAAATCCAACAACACATAAAAAAGACCATATGCCATGATCAAGTTGGATTTATCCCAGGGTCACAAGGATGGTTCAACATATGCAAATCAATCAATGTGATACACCACATCAACAAAAGAAAGGACAAAAACCGCATGATTATCTCGATAGATGCAAAAACAGCACTTGATAAAATTCAACATCCATTCATGATAAAAACTCTTACCAAAGTGAGTACAGAGGAAACATATCTCAACAAGTTGAAAGCCTTCTCACTAAATTCTGGAACAAGACAAGGATGCCCAATCTAACCACTTTTTTATTTGGTCGCACCTCATAGTTTGTGGGATCTTAGTTCCCCAACCAGGGACTGAACCCGGGCCCACGGCAGTGAAAGCACAAAGTCTTAACCACTGGACCACCAGGGAATTCCTTCACCACTTCTATTCAACATAGCATTGGAAGTCTAGCCACAGCAAACAGACAAGAAAAAAATAAATAAAATATATCCAAATTGGAAGGCAATAGGTTACATTGTCATTATATGCAGGTGGCATGATAGTACATAGAAAGAACCCTAAAGACTCCATACAAAAAGTATTAGAACTGATAAACAAATTCAGCAAGGTAGCAGGATACAAGATCAACATACAGAAATCTGTTGCATTTACTTACGATAACAATGAAATACCAGAAAGGGAAAGTTAAAAAAAAAAAAAATCACATCAAAAAAATAAAATATTTAGGAATAAACCTGACCAAGGAGGTGACATGTGCTGAGAACTATAAAAACACTGATAAGGGAAATTAAAGATGATTTAAAGAAATGGAAAGATATACCATGCTCTTGGATTGGAAGAATTAATATTGTTAAAATGGCCATACTACCCAAAGCAATCTACAGAATTAATGCAATCCCTGTCACATTAACCCCGTCACTTTATACCAAACTTGAATAATTGTAAAATTTATACAGAACCATAAAAGACCCAGAATTGTCAAAGCAATCCTGAGGAAAAAGAACAAAGCTAGAGGCATAATTCTCCCAGACTTCAGACAATACCTCAAAGCTACAGTAATCAAAACAGCATGGACTGGCACAAAAACAGACATATGGATCAACAGAACAGAAAAGAGAGCCCAGAAATAAACCCACACACCAATAGTCAATTAATTTTCAACAAAGGAGGCAAGAATATACAATGGAAAAAAGACAATCTCTTTGGCAAGTGATGTTGGGAAAGCTGGACAGCTACATGTAAATCAATGAAGTTAGAACACTCCCTCAACACCATACACAAAAACTCAAAATGGCTTAAAGACTTAAATATAAAACAGGATACCATAAAACTCCTAGAAGAGACCATAAGCAAAACATTCTCTGACATAAATCATACCAATGTTTTCTTAGGTCAGTCTCCCAAGGCAATAGAAATAAAAGCAAAAACAAACAAATGGGACCTAATCAAATTTAAAAGCTTTTGCACAGCAAAGGAAATCATAAACGAAGCAAAAAGACAATCTACGGACTGGGAGAAAGTATTGATATTTGTAAATGATGCGATCCACGAGGCCTTAATTTCCAAAACATATAAACAGCTCATACAACTCAGTAACAAAAAAAACAAACAAGTCAATCAAAAAATGGGCAGAAATCTTAAATAGACATTTCTCCAAAGAAGACATACAGATGGCCAACAGGCACATAAAGATGCTCAACATCACTATTTTTTAAAGAAATGCAAATCAAAACTACAAAAATTACCTGACCAGTGAGGTACCATCTCATGCTGGTCAGGATGGCCATCGTGAAAAAGTCTACAAGTAACAAATGCTGGAGCGGGTATGGAAAAAAGGGAACCCTCCTATACTGTTCGTGGGAATGTAAATTGGTGCAGCCACTATGGAGAACAGTATGGAAGTTCCTCAAAAAACTAAAAACAGAGTTGCCATGTGATCCAGCAATCCCAGCCCGGGCATATATCCGGACAAAACTATAATTTGAAAAAATACATGCACACCAATGTTCATAGCAGCACTATTTACAACAGCCAAGACATGGAAGCAACCCAAATGTCCATTGAGAGATGAATGAATAAAAAAGATGTGGTACATAAATACAATGGAATACTACTCAGCCATAAAAAAGAATGAAATAATGCCATTTGCAGCAATATGAATGGACCTAGATATTATCATACTGTGAGGCAAGTCAAAAAGAGAAAGACAAACACCATATGGTATCATTTATATTTTGGATCTAAAATACAACACGAACTTATTTACAAAACAGAAATAGACTCACAGACACAGAGAACAAACTTACAGTTACCAAAGGGGAAAGGGGGTGGGTGAGGGATAAATTAGGAGTTTGGGATTAGCAGATACAAACTACTATATATAAAATAAACAACAGGTCCTACTGTTTAGCACAGGGAACTATATTCATATCTTGTAATAACCTATAATAGAGAAGAATATGAAACAGAATATATATATATACACACACATATATGTATAACTGAATCACTTTGCTGTATGCCAGAAAGTAACACAACATTGTAAACTGACTGTACTTCAATTAAATATACATATATTTACTAATTTAATAGTCAAGTGACAGGATTTAATTGTTTACGTTTTCTTTTCTTTTTTAAAATATTTATTTATTTATTTGGCTGCACCGGATCTTAGTTGCACCACGCGGGATCTTCATTGCTGCATGTGGGATCTCTAGTTGTAGCATGTGGGATCTAGTTCCCTGACTAGGGATCGAAGGCAGGTATTGGGAACATGGAGTCTTAGCCACTGGACATTTGCATTTTCTTGACTAAGAAAAATGTTAATAAACTTACTGGCCAGTTCAGTGAATATGTTTGTATCCATGGCCCATTTTTCTTTTTCATTTTAAAAATATATTTATGGTTTGTACTTTTAAAAATTAATTATTTAGGGACTTCCCTGGTGGCGCAGTGATTCAGAATCTGCCTGCCGAGGCAGGGGACACAGGTTCGAGCCCTGGTCTAGGAAGATCCCACATGCCGCAGAGCAACTAAGCCTAGGTGCCACAACTACTGAGCCTGCGCTCTAGAGCCTGCAAGCCACAACTATTGAGCCCGTGCTCTAGAGCCTGTGAGCCACAACTACTGAGCCTGTGTGCCACAACTACTGAAGCCCATGAGCCTAGAGCCCGTGCTCCACAACAAGAGAAGCCATCACAATGAGAAGCCCCCATGCACGGCAACAACAAATAACCCCCCCTCGCCACAACTAAAGAAAGCCCACGTGGCAATGAAGACCCAATGCAGCCCAAATAAATGAATGAATGAATCTTAAAAAATTATTTAATATTTGTAAGATTTTTGAGTATGTGAGGTAAACATATAAATATTCTTCTTATAAAAACAGTTCTAGCTCCATTTATATATTTAATAGACCTTCTCTTCTTCACTGATTGAATGATGCCATCTTTATCATATATGCCATTCTGAGTAAGTGTTCTTTCCTTGGCTATATGCTTTATAGATCTAATTGAATCGTCATCTATCCTGATACCAATACCATACCATCATAACCATTGAAACATTATAATATACTTTACCATCTGTCAGAAATATGTCCTTCCAAAAACATTTTATTCTCTCTTGCTAATTTCTTTAAGTAAATCTTAGAAATAATGTGTCAAAATTCCCCCTCCAATGTTTTATTAGAATTCTAGTATCCAAAGTAACTTGGGAACTGTTAACTTTACAATATGCTATTTACATAGAGTAGCATAATACAGTTACCCTCATATTTTTATTAAGGTTATTCATGCGGTATTTAATGTTTTTGTTTTTTGCTGCTTTTATTGTAACTCGTTCTTGCTGGTGTTGAGAGCAGCTACAACTTTTTATGTATATGTCTTGAATCTAGCCACTTTTACTGAATTCTTTATTAATTCAAACAATGTTTCAGTAAATTTCCTTATATTTTCTAGGTCTGCAATCTATTATCTTCAAATAGTACTCAATTTATCTATTTCTTTTCAGTAGTTTCATCTTTCATTCTTACTATTTTAGCTAAAATTTCTAAAACTCTGTTATAATATTAATATAATAGACATTGCTATTTTGTTCTTGATTTTAATGGGCTCACCTTTATTGTTTTATAATTATGACTTGGCTGATGTCCTGTCAAAGGGCCTGCTTCTTGCTTGACCAGAATTGCTGACTCACTGCAGTTCACAACTGTTCTTTTTCACAGCTATTCTTTTTCTAGTAGGGTGGTATTAACTATTTACACTATCTTGGAAGGAACATGGACCCTTACTTACTTTGCTGTACAACCATGGCCTATTGGTCAGTCTTGCCCTTTCCCATGCCTAGCTATGTCAGATCCTCAAGAGGAGAAGGTGGACATTTCTTATCTATTTCCCAGGTGGTCACGTACTGTTCAGATGGCAAAAGATGTGTAACTCATTAGCTACATTTTAAAATTCAGTCTCGAAGAGTAGAAATTCCTTCCAGCTTCTTGCAAATGGTTGACTCAGTTTTAATTTACAGTACTCTTACCTTTGTCTTTTTTTTAATGTCTTAATTGACACTTTAATGGTAAAGCGAAAGAGCCATAATAGGATAGCTAACTTGATGCTATCAGGTCCTAGAAGTCTATCGTTTTCAAAAGTGAAAACCGAGGTACTTTGTGAACTGATTTGGCTTTAGTCATCGAATTAGTAGTTAGTGAATAGGCTGAGACAATTACCATATGCAATTATTTGGTGTTGAGCAGAAACAATCAGGATAAACCTCAATTATTCTTTTTACTTTTATAAAGATCTGGCCAGTGAGTGAAGCTAGAAATAGAAATCCCAGGTATCTCCTGGAAATCAATGTAATCTCAGAAACATTATGAAACTTTGTTGCAAATATTCATTTTGATCAAAAGTCACATTTTCATTCCCATGTCAAAAGAAAATGGATTTATAAAGGTGAATTAGTTTTTAATGTTCTTTGTTTTTATCTTTCACAAATATACAGACAAGATATAATTAAGCCTAAGCAAAGATGTAAACAAATTACATATGTATCCCATTTTCTGAGGCTTTTGGCTCCTTAATTTAATTTAAAATTATCTTTTAAAAAGAAGAAACACATGCAGAAATAAGTTTAATTTCTATACTCGAGTATTCATGGTCAAGAAAATAGTTTTTTCTCTACTTTAAATGTTTTTATTTAAACACTCTTCTAAATGGAGTTAATGCTAATTTCATGATTGCTGCAGTCAATAAACTATTATGAAATGACAGTAGAGGCTAACTTTATCATGGCATTCAGTCTTCAACAGCAATTTAACACATCTCATTTGTGTACTGAGTGGCACTACATCAGAAGCAAGGAATGGAGGATTATGTTTAAGTATTTTTAGAGAACCCCCTTTAAAGATCTATAATATTTTGTTTTTTCACATTAAAATGTATTGAACATAGTGAACAACTAATATGTAAAAGTGCTATGCTTGGCATCAAAAGGATAAATAAGATATAAAACATGTTTTATTCCATTCATAATTGGAAAGATGAAAACATAAATATAAATAACTATAAAACAAGCAATGGATTTTTATATATAGCTCAGGTATTTTTCTGAAGAATTTTTGCTGAGGGTAATTCCTCTGATTTAGGACAATTATGTCATATGTAAAATTCAGGTATATCCTTCCTGTAGGAGAATTTTTAACATGAAGACATTTTTAAAAACAGTTCCTTGGGAAAAAAAAAGAAAAAACAACCAAACAGTTCCTTGGGTAAGAGGGCCTGAAATACAGCAGCAGCCTCCCTGAGGCTTTTAACCAATGAAACAAACTAGTTATTACTTAAGGACCACTGGAGGTCTGTTGTTTCCAAAACGTACCAATGAGATAATATTTATAAAAGGTACATTATCTAACTAGCATACACATGAGTCAGCCATGTATTTATTCACTTCAATCTGTGGCATCTCCAAGCCATTGTCTTTAGCTTCCTTAACACTTTGGAGAAACTGAGACAACACAGCATAAGTGCCATCTAGTGGTAAAGTGTCTCCTAACTGCATTAAGAATTACAGAAGGGAAAAACATTTCTAGCAGGGAACAGGGAAGGCTTTATAGATGAGCAAATAGATCCTGAAGATAATATAGTTATTTCAACAGCTAACTGGGTATTAGGAACATGGGGTGTGTTGACAGAACAGGGAGAGAAATGTCTCGTTAAAGCAGACAGCTTATGTATAGAAGTAGTGGAAGATATGACTAGAAAAATATTTGGGAATAGAAAACTCTAGGGGGAAGTCTAGTCTCTATCCTATGGGCAATGGAGTGTAGTCATCCATCCAATCAATATTCACTGAGTGATAACTACGTACAAGCACTGTGTTAGCTCCTGGGTATATAGTGATGAACAAAGCAAACAGGGTTCCAACCCTCATGGAAATTCTGGAGTAGACAAACGTTAAACGCAGTATTGAAACTTCTGAGCAAAAACGGAATGGGGAGTCTAAAGACTTGAGTTTGCAGCCCAGCTCAACCAAAGTCATTTAACCTCTAAGTCTATAGAAAAAGGGAACTACCCTACCTATTACACAGTGTTGCAGTGAGGAAAAAACTTCATAATATATGTAATATACATGAAACAGTTTTCTCAAACTGTAAAATTCTACACAAATGTAGAGCATAATGATGAAAACAGTGTTTTAGAACAAATATTCTGATAGAGGTATGCAAAATAAAATGAAAAAAGAAAATGGACATAGGGAATTAAAAAGCCCCACTAACTCTAGGAAGTTACTTTATAGAATTTATTCAGCAATAGAAAAATGATCCAATATAGCATACCTGATATGGCAATCTTTCCCTTACATGCTGTTCGTGCTTTACTTTCAAAATTCACATCACTGTCAAAAGAAAAAAAACCCTAATGAAAAAAAGGATCTTCTCTAATAAGCAATTGTTTTAACGAACTTTCACAAATGCCTAAATATTAAAAATAAACACATCCTTGAATAATAATGACTTCCAGTTAACATAAACTATTTGACTCAAACTTTATGATGTTTAGTCAACAGTAGCTGGCTTTAAAAGAAATATATAGAGCCATTATCTTTGATTTTTTTCATACAAGCTTTACCTTCCCTGATGATTATATAATGGCTTACTCTACAATGAAAGGCTTTTGTGACCTCTTACATTTAAAAACAAGATGTGCAATATTTGTACAGGTCCTAGGAAGTATAATACCTTGCATCACCATTTCATAAATTATATTTCTAGCTTACCAGATTATAGTTGCCTGAAAAAGTTAATGAACTTCCCAACCATGAACATGCTGCCCAAGGGTATCTTATCCTTATAAAATCTAACAAATATTTAAAAAATTACTCTCTGCTACATATTCATGTGTGGTAATATCATATTTCATTTCCTTGAAGTTCTAAAAAGCTAAGCATACACTGAAACAATAAATGAACTAAGTTGGCAAAGGAAGGGAGTAGCCCTCTAGAGAGAATAAAATGTGGAGAGGAAAACATTATCATGACAATAGAAAAGGTCTCAAAGGAAATTCTTGGGATATAAGACACTTCCAGTTCTGACTGTAGACTATACTATTATCATAAAAATTTTTTTCAGGGACTTCCCTGGTGGTGCAGTGGTTAACACTCCACCCTCCCAATGCAGGGGGCCTGGGTTCGATCCCTGGTATGGGAACTGGATCCCACGTGCATGCCACAACTAAGAGTTTGCATGCCACAACTAAGGAGCCCACGTACCACAACTAAGAAGCTGGTGAGCCGCAACTAAGGAGCCCATGAGCTGCAACTAAGGAGCCCACGAGCTGCAACTAAGACCCGACACAACCAACTAAATAAATAAATAACGACACAACCAACTAAATAAATAAATAAATACTTAAATATTAAAAAAAAATTTTTTTCAAAATAGTTATCTTCTATTAGACCAAATCAATCTCATCTCTGAATAGTTATCCAATATCCTATTTCCTAATAACCTGCATTTAGAGATTAGCATTCCATTTCTAGAGCAATGTATCCAGGGGTATTCTTCTTTGCACTCTTTTTTGGCCTCTATTTAATTTGGTTAGCTAATTAACTGCCAGTTAATTTAACTAGGTACTTCAAATACGTGGTAAGATAGAAACTTTTCATTTGAATACTGTTCTGATTCTAAAAGGGCTTTTGTAGAAAGGTTGGGTGGGAGTTTGAAGTGTATCTAACTAAGTTTCAGGAGAGTGACACACCTTAACACATTTCAGTAGCCTTGTTAAAAAGATTGCAAATATATTCATTATCATGCATCCAAATTTGAAAACAAAATACATCATCCCACCTTTTTTTACTCTCTTAGTGGATTAAGCACATAAGTATTAAAGGCGAAATATATTCCAAAGGAGCAAAAAGAATTTACTGACGTATTGAAGTCGATAAGCTTATATGGGACATTTATATGGTATTTACAGAATCAAGCACTAGGTGTAACTAAAGTAATGTTGTAGACTTAAAGCCATAAATTTTCAGGATCCTATCTAATTACCTTATGGTCACACTGGTATTTAAGTTAAAAGGAAATTCACTCAGTGAAAAATAAAAGTACTCATTATTTCAAAATAATGTTTTGTTGAATCATAAATTTTAAAAAGAGTCAAGTTCGGTATTTTATACTCAAGTTCAGTTTGTCACGTTGGAGAATTTTAGCTGGCTTATTAATTCATCAGAGTGAAAAATTCAATTGAATAGTCTACTATGTTGTGGTGAAAATAATATACTGAAAGGCCCACTAGAAACCAAACACAAATCTCAATTTCCTCAAATTGGTACAAGAAATACAATATAAATACAGTTGGTTGGCATTTGTAATACTTCTAAAAACACGTTCTATATGAGCAATGCATAATATAAATTCTTAAAATATTTATTTCAGTGAAAAAATACAAGGAAGCTCTAATACAGTGAGTAACTTGAGTATTATGGAATAGGTCATAAATTATGTTAAAATTGAAATCCATTAGGCATTATTAAATTGGATTAAACTTGAGGCTTTGGCAGACAAATGAAATTCTAAAATACTAGAATCACCAAAAGCAAACTTGCTGAATATTTACCAAAAAAATTTTTCCCCTCCAAACTATTCAACCACCTGGCAGAGTATAGCTTTCTCCCCTATAAGTATAAAATTACTTACATAGGCATTTTCAGGACCTGTCAACAAACTTATTATATACAAATATTATCAAATTGTAATATAAATCCAATTAACCATATAATCTTACAGAATGATTCTTTCTTTAAAAAAATTGAGAGATGAACTAAAGTAATCCAGACTCATGTTTCAGAAGCTTGAATTATTTTCATTTCAAATAACTCAACTGCTATTTAGGGTGCTAAAATGTGATGTTTTTCTAATTAATCCAAATTGACAATAAATTGTTAAACATTATCTGTTTAATAATGTGCTACTGTAGCTAATAGTTTGCTACAGTTAAATCAATAGTTGTTTTAAAATCTGCAATGTTAATGTCAATTCTAAATGCTACAGTTAGAGAGCCAGTCTGAGGAAAAAGCAAATAACCACAAAATCATTCAAACGAAAGCACAGCTAAATAATAGTGTACCTTATTCTTTTTTTTTTTGTACCTTATTCTTATGAACCCAGTTTAGAGCATTATTTTGGTAAGACTTGTAATTTAAAAGATAGAGATAAAAATATATAAGACAAACTTTTAACTTTGTTTTATTAACTTATATTTCTGCCTGTAGGTAAATAAAATGACCAACAGAGGGTGCCAATCAGCCACTTTGTTGCTCAAAAATCTGTATTAAAATTGGCCAAGTAAATACATATTATCCTATTTTATGTTGTTCCATACGGGAATTTAAAATAGCATTTCTTTTCCAGAATTAACAAGATACAATGAGAAATAACACAATGATGAAAGAATTTTATATTAACAAAGCATTTAGAAGAATTCTAAATACTATTCTATTATTTCAAAGCAGGTTATAAAATTCTTCACCTCTTGTGCAAATAAGTGAAAACTAAAACACACAGAAATGCTTAATGTGGACTTTTAAACCACCCTAAAACTATGTGGTATAAAATTAATACCTTCATAACTATGTTAAGCTGGGAAGATGAGTTTTCTACTTCAAACCTTGAGACAACAACCTCTTTTCAACAGACACCAAACAATATAAAGTTTAAAAAAAAATAATTAATGTCTTAACTATACCATGTTTTATTGTAGAAATACCAGGAGTACATAATTTTCACTGGCAATCCACATTTTTATTTTTGTTTATATTGTAGTATATAAGCAATTAAACTAGGCAATTGGAGTATAAGAAACTAGTTTTTGTGGCGTTATTAAAATCAGAGTTATGGTGAATGATACCTAAAATTAGGTACTATAAATGTCTTTGACTAGTATTATTTTCACAAAGCCAAATACAGTTTTAAGAAGTTAAGGCAAGAGACAGACTAGTGGGTTGGGGCAGAGGAGAATATTATTGCTAAAATGTAAGCTCTGCAAGAATAGGGATTTTTTTGTCTATTCTGTTCACTGCTCAATCACCAGTGCCTGGTATACAGCTCAGTACATTCTAAGGCATTTAGTAAAGACTTAGTGAATACTAAATGAAGTAAAATAGGATATGCCTTTTTGGTGGAGCAAGCAGTAGATTTAGACTAAAGTCTTAGGTGTGACTCTTATCCATCAATAACTGGTTAATGAGTTGCTGTTAACCTCTTAGCCTCAGCAACCTCACCTGTAAAATGCAGGAAGTATCTACTTATCTCACAGCTACCGAATGCAATAATATTTTTAATGTATTCTGAATCATTCTTAGAAATGCTACACAAATACTAGGATTACTTTGTGAGTGTTTGTATTTTGGGCTTCAGTATTAACTTGGAGCTTATGTGGAACCTGGAGCTTATGTGGAAGAGGTACTAAATCATTTGTTAAAGTGATCAGAGTATGACTTTCCAGTCTGTGTAAAATAATGGTAGCCACCTAAACTAGAGTCTCTCCAGGAAATCCTACAAAAGGTTTCACGTCAACAAGGAAAGCAAAATCATCTACAGCCCACACCGACAGCATAACTGGAAAAGAGACTATCACAAACTTCAATTTACACGTAAGAGAGGAAATTGACAACTGAAAGCATCAAAACCAGTTCCTGGAGGGCTTACACAAGTAAAGAGTCTGGTATTGCAAAACGCAAATAAGACCAACTTATGATCTCCTCTAGAAGATCATAAGAAAAGAGAATGGATATAAAACCAGTGCTACCACAGCACTGGTAGGGGCTCCAAAATAATTCTGGTTCAGAAGTTGTTAGTCTTGTGGAGAAGACAGACATGCAATAAGCGAGGTATCCTTTGAAGACTTGGCCATGGAAAAAAAAAGGGAGGAGGAGGAAAAGGGGAGAGGGACACGGAGGGGGAGGAGGAAGAGGAGAAGAAGGAGAAAGCAGCTTAAGTTAAAAACCCTAAGAAACAAACCAGTATCAAAGGATCAGAAAACCAACCAACCAACATCCCAAAAGGAACCATTTATTAAAGAAACTACTTTTCATAGTTCCAATAATAGAAAACACTCTTGAACTAAGAAACCAAGTAAGCCTTTTTACCCAACCCCCTCCCCACCACCATCACTTGGCCCAGGAAAATGCTACATCCTACGTATTTCATTTTGTTTCATTAGGAACAACAACAAAAAAGGATCCAAACACCCATAGAAAGCTATTATAAAGTGAAAGTAGAAAGAATCAGAATGCTTCAGCTGATAAAAATACCCCACCAAAAACTTTCCAAAAAATATAGAATAACAAACAAGGTAACACGATACTCCAAAATGAATTAAGTGTAGCTAAGTAAG